GGCTCAATTTAGAAATTTGATTTATTTTTTTCTCCTCAAAATAATACGTTTAGATCTCTTAAAAATAAGTTTCTTGCTCACACCAGATTTGAATTTCCTATTAATTTAAGCAATAGGCATGCGTTTTGGCACACGTGTGCAAAAGAGTATGTGCAAATGTATACAATTTGCACACTAACTAAACGGTTTGCTGATCAAGTTTATTTTCAGTGAAGTTGTCGTAACTCTTCACAACTTTGAAAGTCTTATATTGTAAGAGCGATCGCAAACTATAAACAAAAAATAGAAAAACTGTGCTCTCTTTCTCTTCATCCTCGTCCTGCTTATTGCATGAACACCAGAGTATGTGAGCGGAGTGGAGCGGCAACAATTTTCCCTCCGCGCTCCAAGCATTTAATAATCACTCCGCTCCAGCTCCAGCTCCAGCTCCGCTCCGGGTTCACCATTTTCCGCTCCTCGCTCACTGATATCACAAACACCGCTCTGTCTTCGTTCCCCAAGGAAATTGCGAATAAAGTATTTAAGTATGCTTTAAAATCCCACAAAATTTCTCCTCATCATAATATATAGGCATATTAAATAAAAAAACAACATTAGGAGAATAGTTGCAATGTGGTTTATTGGATAGTCTGCAAACTTTTCTTATGGCATGCTATGCTTATTACAGGTTATCTGCATTATAAGTTAAATATCATTGCTGCTTTTTGCAGAGCACATTTTGTTTGGAAAGAAGAAAATAACTACGTTTTCATCAGTTATTTTATCTACGGGTCGCTACATTTCTTACAGATTTCTGCTCATTCGAAATCAAATACCGACAGTACTGTAAGATTACATTTGTTTGAATGCAATGCATTAGTGAGAAAGCGATTGCGTGTGTGAATAAGTGTTACCTGTTTAAAATGTGCTTTCACCCGATCCAGCCCGATCTCATGAAAGTGCGTATCTATAGCGCAAATTTTATTTCTCGTACCATTTATACGCCAAAAATAGTTTTTGCTTGCGTAGCCTATGATAAGCAGTTTTCGCGTGCATACGATACGCGCTTTATGGCAAGAACGCACTTCACACCCATTATCCTAACCAAGGGGTTTAGTGTGTCTCATTTGCACGCAAAAACTATTTTTGGGCATATAAATTCATGCTATAGATACGCACTTTCATGAGATCGTGTTGCCCGATCATATCATATTCAGTAGGCTTGATAACTATAACCTCCCGCAGCCACTCATGTCCACCGGCGTCATCATAACCTTCACATTTTTTTCTGATTTGAGTGATCCATCTGTATCACGCTAGCGTAATGTCTTTAACGTGTGAATCCTTACTAAAAATGCAGTTCTATAATGAGCCGTTGGCATGAATTGTACTCGTGATGGAGCGGTAGTGGAGCGTTCTCAGAGCGAGTGAAAACCACGACGCTCCGACTTTTAAAAAATCCGCTCCGCACTCCATTCAAAATCACACCGCTCCGCTCCCACTCCACTCCGCTCACATACTCTGATGAACACCAAATCACGGGCTTCCGCGGCACATCAGCTCATAAATGAACACGTAAACACTGATTTAAAAAGACAATGCATCAACGATAGATCAGGATTGAGCACTAAGGCTTGCAGTGTTTTTCACCATGGTCTCTCCTTGTGTTTGTGTCCTGTGTGGTCCCTTAGGAGCAGATCAACAGTTTGGTGAATCAGGTGTGTGGTAAAGCCGTGGTGAGAAACGTGGCAGACGGCTGTAACGGCTCCAGCCCCACCAAACTGCCAGGCAAGCGCGGCCCCCGCAAGAGAGCCACTGTGGAGCTGTCCCTGACCCACCTGTCCAAAAGTGCCGCCGCTGCCGTCTCGTGAGAAACGCCACCCGGTCGCCTACGTCAAACAATCCATTTTCCTCTCCCTCTCTTCATTTGGTTTCTGTCTTTCATCACCCTCATAGCAGGGCAGAGTTTCCTGTGTTGAAAGCAGGCTGCCTTTTTTTTGCACTAGCGCACTAGTTTTTATTCACCAGATGTTTGATAGCATTAAGAGACATGTTCCCAGGTGTGCATTTCACTGACAGGTGTGAGTATGATGTCATCTTTTCTGCCTGGACCCTCTTCCCCCTCGCCTTCGGCCCCATTGACTGCACACATGCTCCTTCTGAACTGTGAACCTTGGGACAAATGGGTGCTTCTCTTCTCAATTTTCCTGGCCCCTTTCCTTTGAATGTTGGTGCTTGATGGAGCTGCCCAAGAATGTTGTTTTGTTTTGTTTTGTTTTGTTTTGTTTTGTTTTGTTTTGTTTTTTGCTTTTTGTTTTGTTTGCTTTTTGTTTTGTTTGCTTTTTGTTTTGTTTGCTTTTTGTTTTGTATTTGCTTTTTGTTTTGGTTTGAGTTTTTGTTTTGTGTTTGTTTTTGTTTTGTTTTTCATTTTGTTTTATGACATTTGTTTTGATTTCAATTCATTTACTCCCCATGCAGCTCCTCTGCGGAAGACGCAGCTCTAAAGATGGTAAACACTTGAAATTTGTCTTGTTTTAATGTGTTTTTTTAAGAGGAAGTACTGTTTCTTTTTTTTTTTTTTTTATCTGCTTTTCATTTCACACTTTCCTCTGTGGATTCGGGAACGGTGGTTTCCATGGCAGCGGGTCGGGCTGTACTTGAGGAAGTGGGTGTTAGGGAATGAACGAGTGGGTCCGGTCCCGGTAGTGAGAGGGGTTCCTCCCACGCCGACGCTTACGAGCGATAACTGTGCCTGATGTTTAGCGGGGAGATCTTTCTTTATTTGTGGTGCTGTTTTTTTTTGTTTTATTTTCTCCTTTTATTGTATATCAATACAAAAAGGTAATAAGAAAGAAGTGCTGTCCGCTAGCCTTCTTATCCCACAGGACGGAAGAGCCCAGAGGCTTTTTCCGCTTCTAGATGTGCAATCGTGTCAACATTCCATTCTTCCAGACTTTCATCTGTACCAGTTAACATTAATTATTATATTATATTATTGTAATTATTATATTTTGTGTTTTTGCCTTTTTATTTGATCTTTTGTTCTGATGTGCTATCTCAAGTTAGAGCCACTATTCAGAGGGTGTAAAATGTGAAATGCAAGTCCAAGTTTTTTTTTTTTTTTATTGTTATTATTGTTGTCTTTTTTCATTTTTGCGGAAGTATCATTGATTTAAAGAAACTTAAGAAAATCACCTTTTGTACATAATCCTGTAAATGTCTTTAATACTTGAGCCTTTGTTGGAGTGACAGAAGGAAAGGATAGATAGATGGATGATGTCAGATGAAGAAAAGCCTTACATTTCAGTTTCTTCAGCTGTGGGAGTTTGATGCATACAGGGTTGCTCTGGTAATGTGTATACATTTTAAGTGCTGCTTACATCACTGAGGACTAAGATAAGGAGTCGCGATTTCCCCCTAGTTTTGTTTTTTAGGTTTACTTTTTTAAAGAAAAGGGAAAATACTTTCACAAAAAAAAAGAAAAAGGTTTTTACATTTTCATTACTGAAAATTCAACATTGTAGTAGCTACTCATGTTGCACTGAGCTTGCCAGTGGTGACTGTCAAGAAAAAAAAACTATAATTCAGTTTGTTGGTTGTTGTCCTTAACAGAAGACTGAACTGTTTTAGGAGTATTTAATGAAAACCAAGTCTGGTGTTTTCAACAAAAAATGGCGGTTGTCAAGTTTTTATGGCCTTACAATGTATTTTACTCCGAATTTTTTGCTGTTTTTGGTTCCTTTTTCTACAATATGAGAGATTTGCTCACGGTCAGGCGAGTTAATTTATTAGCACTGCGTCTCAGCTCATCCTCTCACGAGGAAAGATTTCATGTTGGTTATATTGCCAGTTTTATTTTGTTTTTCTTTTGTTTTCTTTTGTTTTTTACTTTTTCAATTTGTACTTAAGGTTTAATAAAAACTCATGGACAATTCACTGTCAGTGTTTCTTCATTACTGACTTTTATACTGGTTTAAAGGGGAATGTTTTCTTTTCATATATTTCTAATAAAATGATTTTACTGATTAACCACATTTAAAAATACATTTACAAATAGCAATTATTAATAATAATGTTATTATATATAAAGAAAATAATTGATAAAAATTATACTTTAATACATCTTTAAAATATTAAATTGTACTAGTATTTTACTAGTATTAGAACGAAGTAGTAGTAGTTATTAAAATAATAATAAAAAACATAATACTTGTCTTTAATATTTGTCTTTAAAATATTAAATCGTTTTATACATATTTAGTCACTGTATTAATAATAAATTGTTGTCATAAAATAATACTCTTTAAAACCATTTAGTATTAGTTACTATTATTATTACTATAGTTATATTATTACTAATAATAACAATGATAATGGCAGTTAAAATAATTAAATAAATACAAATATTTGAACATTATTTAAAAAAAAACAATACTCTGAATTGTCCTATATTTTATAAATATTTAATAGTGGTATACTAATTGTTATTATGATTATTATAAAATGAATATTATTTTAATGTCTTTATTCAATTCTTTTGTATAGCTTTTAAGCACTTTAAAAGTCAAGGATCTGCAAGTGATTTTTAAATGTTACATTTTAAGTTAGGTCCTCTACATGTCCACATTATGTTCCCTGATGTAGAAATATGCTGACAATTTGAAGAACTGAAGCTCGACTCGGAGCCTAAATTTTGGTATTTTCAATGAAAGTCATACTCTGGTGAGCCCGAGGCCTCTAAAGCATTGTTGATTTTATACAGGAGACAGGCATGTTCCTCATAAAATACATAACAGTTTTAAATACATTTTTGAACATTTGTTATCTAAAGCCTTTTTAAAAGCTGGAAATACTCCAGATCTGGATTTACAATATAGAAACCAAATTGACTAAACTAGTTTGTAGAGTGAAAGCCATATAATTAAAATAGTAGTGTGCATTTTTTATATTGCTGTAACTGACAACAATGGCACAGAGGGGCAAACAGTAGACCAGCTGTATGCAGTGAACGTCCCAACAGAATAAAAGAGATTTATTGATTTGTGAGGGCAGGCACAGGATCGGGCTTATACTGCACAGCACACGACAAAGAACTTCTTTACAAAAACCAAAAGGGTGTCATAAAACACAAATGTGTACTCTTCCTTTTGACGCAAATGAACAGCACACCTGCTAATTACATCACTTCCGCTTACAGTCTGTCGTTCATCCTCTGTGTTTTCAGGATGAGCTGCTGCTCTCACTGTTCTTGATTGGCCGGTTTTGTTCTCTTTCGAGTAACCTGGCATCCTCCTCGACCTCTTCTAGATCCGGCTGGATGAGCAGAGAGCCACGGTTGGCTGCTTGTTCCCTCTCATCATCTTCATCATCATCATCATCGTTGTACTCCTCCTCTTCCCCCGCCTCCGTGTCTTGGCTGGCTGAGTCCGTGCAGGTGGAGGACAGCGATGCGAGCTTGTGTCTCAGGTCCGCCTGTGTGGGCACCTGAAGAGTGATCTCAGAAGTGAACGACTCCACATCTGGACCTAAGAGAGAATCATTTAGACAGGAAGAACAAAAGGGATTAGAATGCAAATTTCTTTTTAAAAATGAGACTGGTCTGACAACATTCAGGATTCTGGGAGACAGGAGATCTGTTACAAAACCTGGTAAGCTGCCTACCACTTTGTCCATTGTAACCGCACAGTCACAGAGAAATTTTGCGGGCAAATTCCATTCTCCATTGTCATTAGGATATCGATGCATGAAGCATGCTTATTCAGTGGTCATTGCCAAACCAAGTAGCTTTATACGGGTAAACCCGGCAAATTTGCATGTTAAAAGTAAAAACAAAAATGTGGGAAAAAATTCGCATTATGTGTCCATCACGCAAAATTCCTAATCGTGTAGATTCATGATGGCATGACTGCATTTTGCCCCTGGAATTTTAGCAGTTCAAAGGTAAACGTGACCGCACATTAAAGGTCCTTGCACACTGAGTCCAAAATTCTTGTGTGAAATTTTCGCACGTTAAAAAATAAATACGCCCTCACGTTGTGTCAATCACGTTTACACACTGCCTGCGAAACTTTCGTCCGTCATAAAAAAAAACTATTTTCTGCATTTTTTGCATCCGTAGCAAGCATTTTGAGAGGTTTTTTGACAATTCAGAGCACAAAAATACGCATACGAAAATTTCGAACTCAGTGTGCAAGGACCTTAAGGCATCATAGGTGAGACCCCACACTGTAAAATAAAACAAAAAGTTGCTGCCTTAAATTAAAGCAGCACTCAGTAAGAATTCCATTTTTGTCAAACAGCGACCCCTAGAGTCGCTGTGGAGCACTTGTACTGTCGTGAATAGCACTCATGCAGAGATGGCTCGCACTCACGGCCGGATCCCCTCCCCCTGTACACCTGTACCTGTTCAGTGGGATGGACGCTGTAACGAGTGGAAATAAGGTATGGCCCCTTTAAGAGCTGCGCGCGCCCAACACCACATGTATACGGCGCCGGGTTATTTCTGCTTGATGCTCATTTTATCAGAATTTTATCAGATCTGTTTTTTTGCCGTAAAGCAATTCGTTACCTCGCGAGACCTGATATCACACGATACTTCCTAACACTCAGGCCGGCGGCTCGCCGGCGCAAAGTTGCAAGGGTGGTTTTGCGGCTCACAGGCACCAGGGGGGTGCGAGACGACCACCATTCAACACGAAATCAGTAATATAAACATTACAATGACTCCAAAGCTGTTCGGTTAAGGTAAAAAAGTTACTTAGTTCACCTTTAAAGTACAATCAACTTGGATGTTTAGGTCATTTCAACTTAAATAACATTAAACTGACTTTAATAAAAATGAGTTGAATCCTGTGTAACATAAAAAAAAGTTGAAAATTGTATTATTTTGGTGAGTTAAAGGCAGCTGCATTAAGAGATGGTTGTCAGCGAGGCAGTGCACTTGTTTTTGGAACAGGAAGTCAGTGTCCTCATTTTGCCTGTATCATCCAGAGAACTTGGCTTTCAGTGCAGCTCAGTGTAATTAGTGTGAATTGTAAAACCTGTTTGTTCTTCTCTGGATGCAATCAAAACATTACAGACATCATCTCAGCGTGTTCTGCTGACGGTAGCGGTAAATGTCAGCACTAATTTAATGGCATCTCAGCATTAGTGAAGCTAAAGAGTTATTTAAACATAAGGACGGACACCACACCAGGAAGTTGGGGAATTTCATCCGTCTCATGTAAAAGTCTATGTGCTGTAATACCAAGCAGAAAACTAGGTCACAGGGTATGTAAGAATGGAAAAGTACCCAAAAGCTCTGTACAATATACCTTACGGAAGGTGGACATGGTGAAAGGCACGAGAAGGTACTGAAAAACATGTAATATGAGATGTTTTTTAAAAGGCGCATGCTCAGAGATTCTCCACCAATAGAAAGAAGGCCTCGGGGAAGATGTTTCTAATGGTGGCGATATCTCGAGGAGGAGCAAAAAGAAAAAGATAACTGTACGGATGCTCATTGGGTACCTAGCGATCAGAAAAAGGTGTAAGACCTGAAGGCTGACCATTGTAAGTCAGATGAACAGCTGACATCTCACTTAGACGAATTAACTTTATTGAACAATTCAACAGAGACCTGGAACTTTGACTCTGAAAGATTTCTTTCAGACCTGAACCAGAGACTTTAAATCTGCCACAACAGAAGCCACATTCATCATTAGCTAAGAGTGGATTAGATCTATCGAACTCAATCAGGCTCCACTTGAAAACCAAAAGAGGACAAAAACACATACAGAGTGAGTAAATCTACAGATTGATGATTGTGAAATATCACTGTGTATTTATACCCAGCATCGGTGAGGCTACGCTGTTGTCCTCGCCGCCAGAGTTGAGAAAGACGTCCAACGCCTCGTGGTCAGACATATCCATCAGATCCATTTGCTCCAGCATGTCCACGTTCACCTCCATTGATGACATGCTTCCTATTGTCTCTGTGAACCAAAGGAAGAGCAACAGCATCAATAACTGCAACCTCACACTTCAATCATTAATATGTATCAAGGATTTGAGTCCAGGATGAATGTTACAAGGAGTTTTCCTTTCTGCGGAAAGAGTTCTTGAGTCAACTCTTGTCAGATAGAACAGCAAATTTGGTTATGTCAGATCTCATTTGATGCACTGAGCTATGTCCTGGATTCGTCACCTTGCAGTCATGTCGACTCTGTGATGTCTTTAGCACATGCTTCACAAACACAGACTGCGGCGTGAGGCATGCCCATCACATGTGCGTGTGTGAGCGTGAGCGTGACATCAGTAAGCAGAGCGGTGAACTGCGTACCTCAAGGTTGTGTAAGAGCGCAGCGGCACGGGGAGATGGACAACAAAGAGAGAGACATGTTAGCTCCCCTTTTACAGTACCGAGACACAAACACAACTGCACACTCATACACTCAGACTCTGTGTCACACTTTGAGAGAAATTCCACCAAAGCACTATTCCAACACAATTCCAGTCCATACTCAAAAAATAATACCCTTTAAAATAAAGATTAACATATTCTCACCTTGCTGCCCTCAGCCCCGCCTTCTTAATGACCCATTGGCTGATACTTTGATGACTGGACGACTGATCTTAGCCCCACCTTCTTAATGACCCAATGGCCAATCCTATCCCCGCCTTCTTAATGACCTACTGGCCAATCCTAGCCTCACCTTCTTTATTGCCTGCTTGATGATCCAAGCCATGCCTTAAAGGTGCCCTAGAATCTGAAATTGAATTTATTTTGGCATGGAGTTCAGTACATGGACATGACATACAGTGAGTATCAAACACCATTGTTTTCTCCTTCTTATTTAAATCTTGTTTTTGAAAAACACCCCTGAAAAATAGGTGAAGCTCCACATAACACCGACTGTGACGCAACAGTCATATAGATCATTAATATGTACGCCTCCAAACATTTGCATATGCCAGCCCATGTTCAATGACAGGCGGAACTGCGCAGCCGAAGCATAGCAGTTGCTCAGTGTTTAGATGTACACATGAACACAAAAGTATTCTTTAGTTCCTTCACCCGAGCCTCTGAAGAAACAATGCGCTTACTTTAATTTTCTCTGGAAATGGTCCAAACATTTCACCGCAGCTGTTTCCTCAACTTGGGCCAATACCATAGACTGTAAAAAATATGGACAAAGCGTCTGTGACGTCACCCATAGACTTTTTGAAGAACGGTTTTGAGGCTGTGTTTATGGGGGGTATGGGCGGTGCCATCTTGGAAAATCTTACGATATTTCAAATACAAATGTTCAGAAAGGATACAGAGGTGGTATGATGTGTTGTGTCAGATCATGGCCGAGACGTCAAATTTCAGGAATTCCACTCAGCGCAGCCCGTTATCAGCTGTCAATCACGCGCTTATTTGTCATACATTTTATATCTAAATACGATCTAAACTACCGAGTTAGAAAAAATTCACCCCCCTCACAGTTGTCAGGCACTCGGAACCTATCGAAAAATACAATAAAAGTCCATGGGACCAACCTGTGAAAACATGAATTTATGCTGTGAAAACTGACATTTTAACATGCGGGTCTATGGAGATTTGCTCCCTTTTGGGACCTCCCTCTAGCAGATTTTCGATGTATTGCAGTTTTTCGCACTTCCAGGTAGGCTTCATTTTTCAGATTAGAATGTTGCCGCTTGGCCAATACAGAGCTGGCCGTCTGATGAACGATGAACGTCTGATGATAAATCGATCGAGCTACCAATCAACAATTTCTGATGTGTAATTGTTCAAGTCCAGACAGGTAATCTTTCTCTCAAAATCGTCCAATGCTTTTTATGCATCAGTAAGTCAAGCCAGTGACTAAAATATCAACTTTACATCGTTTCTTTTAGTAGGATGAAAAAAACCTTATTTAAATTGTGAATAAATTATATACTGAAAGCGATCAAAGAACAATCTTTCCACACAGCGCGATCGAGTTTATCTGGACATCTTGTTATGAAATCAATGACGCCCGCTACACTGCACAACGAAGCTCTTACTTTATGTACATCAACGTGTTTGCATTGGTGAAAGCATTAGAGAGAGTGCAGAAACTGCATTGCAATGATAAGATCTTCAGTCTCGCGATCAACAGACTGTCATCTGCTTGCTCAATGCTCATCACGGCAACATTTTATGTGATGGGAATAGATCTAAATACATTAAAAACATCTCACGATTTGTTAATCTCGATAGCTGTAATAGTAAAACCGTATGATAGCTGTAGTAAAAGTATTCGAGAGAGTTTCACATGTAATACGTAGCTATTTCATATGCAAGCATGTCAGCCAATCACAGCAGTGGCCGCGGTTACACTGAATCCCACAGCAGACACACCCCTACAAACAGAGTGTTCAAATCAGAAGCTAAAATCAGGCTAGGAAAAATGCCTTTTATTTCTAAATTATGACTATTTTTGATCTAAAAAAAATACTAACATTATAAGGGCAACCCAGGAAACATTATAAAATAATAAAATAACCCCATATAGGGCACCTTTAAGTACCCACTGCCTTGTCCTATCCCTACCTTCTTTATGACCTGATGGCCAATCCTATACCCACATTCTTAATGACCAGCTGGCTGATCCTTACCTCGCTTTCTTAATGCCCCACTCGCTGATCATAGTCTAGGGGTGCAAAACTCAGTTCCTGGAGGTTTAGCTTCAACCCTAATTAAACACACCTGATCCAGCTAATCAAGTCCTTCAGGCTTATAAAACTTCAGGTATGTTTTTTGGTGCAGGGTTTGGAACTAAACCCTGCAGGGCTGTGGACCTCCACTGAGTTTTGTACCCCTCTCCAAGCCCGTTTTCTTTATGACCCTCGGGATGATCCTTTATGACCCATTGGCTGATCCTAGTCCCTCTTTTCAATGACCCGCTGGCCAATTATAGCCTGCCTTCTTTATGACCTGCTTGGGTGATCCTAGCTCCACCTTCTTTTTGATCCGTTGGCTGATCCTTGCCCCTTTTTTTTAATAACCCGCTGGCTGGTCCTAACATTGCCTCCATTATGACCCGATAGCAGATCTTCTCTCTGCCATTTGATGGGCTGTTTACACGACACCGTTTTCAACTAAAAATATAAAACTTTTAAAGCATTTTGTCCGTTTGGCCATTCACACGACAACAACGTTTTGGTGGCCTGAAAACGCAAACGTTTGGAAAGTTTTCGAAAACAGTCTCTGTGTAAACAACAAAAACGTGAATCTCTGAAGGTGATGACGTCATGCATATGCGTAATTTACATGTTCAGTCTATAGTGTTTCATCGTCATCTAATGGCCTGACAGCAGAATACGGGGTTTTTAGTCGTTTTCTCTAATCCACGTGAAAGGGGATCGTTTTGACAATGGTGTTGTCTGTATGCGGAAAACTCAAATGAAAAACTTAAGCATATCGTTGTCGTTAAAACATACCCTAAGTGATCTACTGGCTGATTCTAGCCCCGCCTTGTTAATAATCTGCTGGGTGATCTTAGCCATGCCTAGCCTGGCTCCGACCTCCTACGTACTTCCGCTCTATTTTTATTTTCCTTCAGTACTACGTCTGGGTTTGCTGTATATTCTTGGGTTTTCACCGATCAATTTTTTACCTGTCCAATCAGCGACCAGAGGGAGTAGCTGAGAACGATGATGTTGAGGAGCGCTAGTTTGAGTTGTAGACATACGTCACAACCAAGCGTTAGCGATTGGTTATGGCAGATCCAGAGTGACTCTGGGCAGATCCAATAGTTTTAAACTTCAACAGAGTCCCCGCCTTCAAGGAAGTTAACGCTTGTCAATGGAGAGAGGCCAGACTCTCTGTACAAATGAAATGTGTATGAGAGTCTGGTAGGACCAGGGTAAGCCATGCCTTAATGACCAAATGGCTGATCGTAGCCTCGCCTTCTTTATGAGCCAATGTCTGATGTTAGACCTGCTTTCTCAATAGGTGTGTTCAACTTCTGCTGGAAAGATTTGCCTCTTGCAATCGGGGACGAGTTGAAAACTGAACCGAAGTCGAACGCTTTCTGTTTCCCATAGTGACGCTTGCACAGTGTTTGCGTACTGTATCACAGACAAAATGGATTAAAATGGATTAGATCTAATATTTGTCAGGTTAACATATGTTTGAATTTTACATATAGAAACCAGAATCACATTTCATCCAATAGGTATGCACTGCTTAATACAGTGCCTATATGTACAAGAAGGTCAAGATTTCAATGTTTCAATGATTTCAATCTGTATGATTTCAATACCAATAAAGTGGCGTCTATATTTATATCAGTTTTATTTTGACACATGAAAAGAGTTTTTGCTGGTATAAAAATACAGATTTGTGAGCAGTAGGAGAACAGAACTGCCCTACAAAGGCAAAAGACCTTAACTCGCAGTGGAACTGAGAAAAATGACTTTAAAGAGGTTTAGTTGTTGCGCCAAATTAATTATAGGTAGGACACTGAAAATCTAGCAATTAGATGTTTAAGTAATGAAAATGATCTACATAACAAAATTTTGAGCTCAAACTTGACTTTTGACCACTATTTTAAAGTTACTGTACTCTGCCTTTGTATTGTCAGCAAAAAGTGAGAAGTCATCCCAAGTAAAAAGGCAGTAACTTCCATATTATCAATATTTGGTTGCTGATCACCATTAACAAAATCATTATAGTAACACCTGTATAAAATCTAGTGATCATGGCATTTATTTTGTATGATTTAAAATGACCTATAGCGTTCTACTTATTGTTCTTTGGTTGCATTCTGGTGGCCCTATTAATATATTACACATGACAAAATACCTCCATAGCGGTAAAGACTAAAGAGTATCTTCAAGTGGTACCGAGTGGCATAAGACTTGCTAAACACGCGTTCAAAATGATCACGATAAAACAGATCCTCGCGCACATTCGACCCGGTGACTGGTTTATAGCGGTGGATCTGAAAGACGCATACTTTCACAGGCGTTTGTTTACCGAGATTCGTGTTCGAAGGTGTCACGCTCCGTTCACGAAAAGTAGCCTATGCAGTGCTTTACCCCTTAGGACTGAGTAGGGAGCGCGTTCTGGACGACCTAGTCGACTAAAGGCTGATTTGTACTTCTGCGTCCGACCTACGCCGGAGGCGTTGGTTTTCATTTATACTTCTGCATCGTTGTCCGCCTTGACGCGCAATTACGCATGCAGAGGGAGCATGTGAAACCCGGGGAGCGGTTCTAGCGGACCAATCACAGCGCTTGCGGTACGCGTAGAATTGACGCGTCGTTACATTTTTGGAGAGGTGCACATGGGGTACGCCGAAGGGTACGCGCGGTACACACAGCCTACGACGTAGCTACGGCGAGAGGTCGACGCAGAAGTATAAATTGGGCTTAATGCATTTATAGCACAACCTTCTGTGTTTTGCATCTTTTCAGTATGCGTTGGTTTCAGCTGTCTGCCCTATTATTGTGCTTGTGCACTTCGCTCGTCCCGCGGATTTATTCCGGGCGCTGTGTTTTGTATGCATGCTTTTAACAGCTGTTCTGGTGTTGTATTCACCAGCACTTCTTGCTTCATTATGTTGTATGCACCAATATACCCTTGTTGCTTCATTATTATCACTCCCTGTGATATATTAGTCCCGCGTCAGCTCGACCGTGTTCAGGGCGGAGCTGAAGGCGTCTGCGAAGTTTTGGCACTCTGCCAGCTAGATGCATGATTGTTTCAACTATAGGTCCGGTACCCGAACTGGGTGAGGCGGGGCTTTATTTCTTTGTTGTATTGACCTGCTACGGCATGTGTAACATTTTGCTGTCAACTCTGCATATATCCTTCGCGATCGATATCGCACGTTTGTCGATGGAGCGGGTTAAGAGCATACTAAATGTTCTGACCGCATTAGTGCAGGACAAAGCTCTGAGGACATCAGAAGTTACAGGGACGGATGGTAGCTGTACAAAGTACACAGGCTACATCGTAATTTCAATTTTAATGGAGAGTAAAACAAAGGCAGAACATATAATTGATCTGATTGGTAGCATTATTTGATAGAACGCCGGCACAGTAACTTCATATTGACGCGCGGCTAAACAAAGGCAGAGTGGCGTAACTCAATATGAGCGTTCCAAAACTAAGCCAAAGAGCGGTAACTGGTGTTACGGTGTTCTGACTTGGTTTCTCATGGGCTTTTGGAAGTTACGGTTAAGCCAAACCAATTTTTTTTTTTTTTGAAAAAACAACGGAATTGACTCATACTTATCCACATGATAAAGGAGGTCTTGAATGTCCCAAAAATATCAATAACTCATTTTCGACCAAAAACGAAGTTACGGTCTTTTACCTTTGCACACCAGAGCGAAGGTGTCAGAATACACAAAACCAATGTCATTGTTGTCATCAGTAAATCTGGCCAAGACTTGTGTGGCCACTCTGGAGAAACTGCATCATCGGAACCAGTCCAAGACTTTCAAATCATTTTTGTGGTACTTTGATGGCATACATCAGTGACGGTGTCAGCGCTGACTCAAGTCGGACAAAATGATAACGCTGTATGAAGTCAAACGCACCTAATAAAGGGATGGCGTTTGCTAGCCCTGCCCTCTCTAAATGACCCACTGGCTGATCTAATCCTCGCCTCTCTATCCTTCCATTTGCAGTTTCAGTGTAGTTTATCTACCGTTATTAGCATTACCCATTGGACTTGTTGTTCCTACTCCCTTCTGCTGCTTTTGTACATTACCATGCACCATGTGTCTCCTGAGTCATTTTAGACAAATTGACCAGGTGCAACACTTCAGGGCTGGGAACAGCTTTCCAAATCGAATATGTTGGGTGCTGTGGAGCTGGCACTCTTATTTGTAATAATGACTGCTAAGTTTTTTGTACCAGATCATCTAAAGAGAGATTTCCCAGGGATATAAAAAGGTCTGTTAAATTGTACATGGGGATAGAGCAAATTTACATGAGCATTTTGTTAAACAGCATCTGCTTGTATTAGTGTCTGGTTTAGGTTTGAACCGAGGACATGGGCATAGCTCACCTCTTCTCTCCGCAATCTGTAGGTATCCGGTGGACAGGTAGTGTTCCATGTCCTGCTGAAAAGCCTCTTCAAAGAACTTTTGTCTGTCCTTTAGTTTTACCTGTGGCTGGACAGGCTCCGCCTCCGGTACTCTCTGAGAATGCTCCATCTCCGCTGTGACTGGAGGACAAGAAGAAAGCGGTGATAATGTTAGTCAACCTTGCAGGATATTAGAGTTTAGGGATGTAAACTAGCAGCATTTCAAAAGACTTGCATTAAACACAACCCTGTCATAAAAAGTGTCAAGCTGTTCTCCCGATATGGCTTCAAAGGATATAAAAAACAAAGGTTCAGAATAAATAAGTTTTTTTTACAAATTTGTCAGCTCATACTGAGCTACAACCATGAGGCAAAGTTCTGAAAATGCAAACTGTACACTGTGAGCTTTCCCAAGAGCATGCTGGTCCGGACAGGACAGCAGGGGGTTGTCAGGGCTGTCCAGCAGTGATTTTCAGATCTCTGCTCAGCTTGAACTGAATCAGCGATCAGCATATTCACAAGTAAAGAGGTTTTCTCCTGACAGGACATAACTAGCCCACATTTCCTAAAACTGGGTCTGGCCGTCATATGGCCCTGTGACGTGCTATAGCATTTAATGTAAATCTTGCTGACGGGTCTAATGATTATAATAATTGAATAGCTGAGTAGCTTTTTTAATTTATCAACATTTAATATTTATATTTTTTATATTGGCCTATTAAAGGTGCATGCAGTATTTGGGGCTAATTTAAATAGATTTACATGTTAAGAAACATTGTGTTTTTGTGAAGAGTGACCTGAATAGGGTCGATGTGTCGGCCTCCTTAATATACACTCACCGGCCACTTTATTAGGTACACCTGTCCAACTGCTCGTTAACACTTAATTTCTAAGCAGCCAATCACATGGCGGCAACTCAGTGCATTTAGGCATGGACATGGTCAAGACAATCTCCTGCAGTTCAAACCGAGCATCAGTATGGGGAAGAAAGTTGATTTGAGTGACTTTGAACGTGGCATGATTGTTGGTGCCAGAAGGGCTGGTCTGAGTATTTCAGAAACTGCTAATCTACTGGGATTTTCACGCACAACCATCTCTAGGGTTTACAGAGAATGGTCCGAAAAAGAAAAAACATCCAGTGAGCGGCAGTTCTGTGGGCGGAAATGCCTTGTTGATGCCAGAGGTCAGAGGAGAATGGCCAGACTGGTTCGAGCTGATAGAAGGGCAACAGTGACTGAAATAACCACTCGTTACAACCGAGGTATGCAGCAAAGCATTTGTGAAGCCACAACACGCACAACCTTGAGGCGGATGGGCTACAACAGCAGAAGACTCCACCGGGTACCACTCATCTCCACTACAAATAGGAAAAAGAGGCTACAATTTGCAAGAGCTCACCAAAATTGAACAGTTGAAGACTGGAAAAATGTTGCCTGGTCTGATGAGTCTCGATTTCTGTTGAGATATTCAGATGTTAGAGTCAGAATTTGGCGTAAACAGAATGAGAACATGGAACCATCATGCCTTGTTACCACTGTGCAGGCTGGTGGTGGTGGTGTAATGGTGTGGGGGATGTTTTCCTGGCACACTTTAGGCCCCTTAGTGCCAATTGGGCATCGTTTAAATGCCACGGCCTACCTGAGCATTGTTTCTGACCATGTCCATCCCTTTATGGCCACCATGTACCCATCCTCTGATGGCTACTTCCACCATGTCACAAAGCTCTAATCATTTCAAATTGGTTTCTTGAACATGACAATGAGTTCACTGTACTAAAATGGCCTCCACAGTCACCAGATCTCAACCCAATAGAGCATCTTTGGGATGTGGTGGAACGGGAGATTCGCATCATGGATGTGCAGCCGACAAATCTGCGGCAACTGTGTGATGCCATCATGTCAATATGGACCAAACTCCCTGAGGAATGCTTCCAGCACCTTGTTGAATCTATGCCACGAAGAATTGAGGCAGTTCTGAAGGCAAAAGGGGGTCCAACCCGTTACTAGCATGGGGTACCTAATAAAGTGGCTGGTGAGTGTATTTCGCAATGATGAAATGACATGACCCGCGGTGTTTCACTAAATGTCAGAAAGAATCCTCACACTGTGCTGTTATGTGAAAATTAGACATTGAAACACACATATTATCGCGCTTTACCAGCGGAGAAAACGAGAGAATCAGTACCTGTACTAAAGAAGTAGAAAAAGTTAGAAGCCAGAAAGACTGGATAAAAAAAGAACGACCCTACACATCGCTGCTACGGCATATGTTAAGTGGAAAGATTTGACGAGAAAATCTTGAGTGGTGATGCCCAAGCTGCATCTGTTTTGTTGGATAGATAAGGGAATTAATTATTGTGTAGACGGTTCTCTAAAACTCATTAGTTCACCAGGGCAGTGCAGCGTCTAACACCATTGCGGTATACATGGAAAAAGTAGCTAAAAGACTACTAAATGTACCTTAAAGAAACTGCAATAAATAATGCCTGTGATTGCAAGATGAGTCATCAACAAGAGAAAGACTGTAAATTATCTGATAAGAGATTTTTTTCAACTTACAGTACTCTAGAGTATAGAGTATATAGCGAATAGACAAAAACTAAGGGCACAAAACTCACAAACAAGGGCACACATTTTTTTTTTTAAACAAACAATTTAGTGGAATCGATCAATGTGTGTGTGCGTGTGTTGTTAAATTTAACTACATTTTTATTTTATTTTTTTTTATATTTAATATGGACATTTAGTGGTCAGTTTGTAGTATTTATTTACATATTTATTTTTTACTTTTAGTTAGATCATTGTTATAGTATAGTGGCACTTTTACAGTCCAGCAAACTGTAAGAATCAACCACGTATTCATTAATATCTCATGACTGTGCTGGTTTAGTGTTTCTGGGAAGATTTCATTTACCAGATTCCAGAAATTCCAGGCATCTGTATACCTCTCTTATCCTTTGTCTCAATTTCTCATATTCTGTTGTCGTTCCATCAATTTCACTGGCTCTTTTAGCTTCCCTGTGGGCTGAGTGAATGTGGAAAGCTATGGCTCATTTATTGGGCCAGAGACCTGACCGACTCATTCAGTTTAGGATAAAGCACAGATAAAGCACTGCACGTGTATTCGTGTGTGTGTGTGTGTGTGTGTGTGTGTGTGTGTGTGTGTGTGTGTGTGTGTGTCTTTTTGTTTGGTCTGTCAGTCAGTGGATTAATTAATGTCTGTGGTCGTCCTTAAGCAGCTCTGGTCTCTCGTCTTTCATCAAAGAGTTGTGCTGCAGTGCATACAGGTCTTCTCTTCATTTTCCATCACTCTTTACTTTAACCAAAGAGCTGTTCACAGCGCGCACACACACACAGCAATACACTGACTTCTGACTTAACCTTTCTCTGTTTAGACTCACTGTCTCAATCGTCTTTAACATGAGAATCTATACCACACAGTTATCATTTTGCATGTGTATGACATGATCAATCTTTCCTGTTTCCATTTTCTAATCATTATACATTCATTCTCTCATACTAATGCAAGTTAGTATTATGTCATGCCTCATTACAGTTAATTTTATGATGCTCTGTGCATATTGTGTGTAGATGATGTTGTAATCTGATTATGACTGAGTAATTGAAGAGTCTGTGTGTGACGAGAAACATGAGATATTGGTTCTCAGCCTATCCATGCTGATTTTGCTCCCAAAGTGCAGTCTGAGAAAAGTGCTGTTCAGAAAGACAGTTCAGCTTGTCTAGTTGAAGTGTAGATCTCCTTCAGACTGTTATTTCTCCTGAGAGATGAATCCGTCTTTGCTGCTGCTGTCCAGATGCACTGACCTGAGACCAAACCTCCTTACCTTCTTCTCAATGAATACTGAGTCTTGAAGAGGGCCAGAGAATTTTGAGTTAAGACATACAGTGGCTTAAAGAGCACATTAATGATACAGTGATTCTCAACCTTTTTGACTCCGCCCCTCATTGTCCACTATAAAATTCAAAGACTCCATATAGTTTTGTTTTCAAAACTTTCAAAAGTTACTAAAATACTTAAAATTTAAATGAAAATGAAAATAACTACATTTCAGGGTTCCAGAAGTTTTCATTTATTTTATAATAAATATAATAAACAGTTTCTGCATGACATATTTTAGAGCTTGGAATAACAATTAAAATGTATATTCATTATAAAAATTCCCATGACATTTTAAGGTTTTATTAAAGGTGTATGTAAAAAAAAAAAAAAAAAAAAAAAAAGGACTGTACTAAAGCATAAATCTAAACACCGGGTTGCCAGTTGGCGGAAAACACAGCGTATTGCAGCCATGGAAGCCAGCAAATGAACTGGATCAGAGATTGCATATTCTATCCAACCTAAAAAGCTTGGCATCAATCTAAAAAGCTCTATGACCAAGCATATTAAAAGACGGATAAATTACAGGAAATCAACAATTAACAGTGTTAATTGACATTGTCAATTACGCTCGTTTATGTTGTGTCTTCAATCTGGCAAACCGTGTGAGTGTCTAGTCTGAGCAGGAGGGGGCGGGGGAAACAACTCTCTCCAATATTTTGAGTTTGGACTTCAGAACCCATTTCAACCACTAGCTGTCAATATTACTTACTGCACCTTTAATTTACCTAACTTTTTCAGGTCTAGAAATAAAGTTAAAAAATTAGGCTATAGCTCATATTAAGGTTTTCCAAGACAGTGGGAACTCTGGTTCTTCTTATTTTTATATGTATTTTGTCATCCTGAGACCCTATTTTGCTTAATGCTTGAGAACTACATTAGCTGCATATTATCCACACCAACGGACAATAGCTCAAAATAGCTCAACACATCAGAATAGTGCACTTCTTTAAAACCATGATTTAAAATGTACTTTAAAGTAAAATGTTTCATTTGATATTATTACAAATACGCTTTTTTAAAAAGTACTTTAGTGTGTTAAGAAACCTAGTCATGAAGGCGTACTCTCTTTAAGTACACTTTTAATATAATATTATGTACTGTTCTTTTTTTAATATACTTGTAAGTTTTGTAGTACACAAGCGCATATTCAATACAATTAAGTGCACTTCTTTCTCACAAGGGGTGTGAATGCTTAACTGTTCAGAAAAGGATGTTTAATTTTCAGCGAAGCCAAA